TGGCTAGTCTCAATGAGATTGGCCGCCGTGGCCGGAATCGGTCAGGAGAACATCATCTCCTGCTGGTTTGAAAAGATACCTTTTTTACAAAATTTTCCATGGTCAGTATAGAGGTTTTTCTTATTCGATAGTGCAAGATATATTTACATAATTAAACTTTTTTCGTCTATATTTGTAGCGTGTTGGGTTTATTTACAAATATCTACTCACATTTTGTGGTAATGAAACTTATAGTTTTTCTCTGCTTTCGTAGTTTGTAAAGTTAATCATTAATTTTAAATCTAATCTATACATCTACATATACAGATAAGTGGTAGTTTATTTTTAATGTCAAAATAAAAGTGTTTTGCTAAATGCATATGAAAGTAATATACTTTATTTATATGAAAAATACAATTTTTAAAATTTTTGTCTGCCTGCCTGTCTGTCCGTCTGTTTGTTACGTTTAATCTCCTAAACAGCTGGACCGATTTTGACGGCACTTTCACTGGTAGACAGCTGCATTTATAAGGAGTAACTTAAGCTGCTTTATTTTAGACAAAGAATTAGGGTTCCGCTCAAAAAATTAAAACTTAACTATAGACGCGAGGGTAAATCGAGGGTAATTGATATGCTCGAATACATACAATACAATCTGAAACAAATGAAGTCAACCACACTGAAGCGTGTTTTACATACGTATACATGTAAATTTAACATTCAGGTTAGAATACACACAATGTGTGTAATTTTATATTTAACATGTTATAAATATGTTAAATTAACAAGTTAAATTAAAACAGTAGCAGCATGATAATAAATTGTTACAACGGTTGTACTAATTACATCGTGGAACTTGACGCTCGATTTGCAAATACGCGAGTTAATTTATTATTAATGCTTTTAAATTAATGTTATTAATATATGGTTATCGTTTTGCTCCTTAACTTTTGACATATAATAGGTATTTATTTTACACAGCATTGCCCGCGGCTCCGCCCGCGTTCAGATGACCAAAAACCAAATTCTTAGGTTTTACATATGAAATGACATTTTTTTCCCGCGGTAAAAAGTATCCTATATGTTGACCCGGATAACTAGCTATCACCATACCAAATTTCATCAAAATACCTCCAGTGGTTTTTCTGTGATGCGGTAACAGACAGACAGGCAGACAGACAAAAATTCTAAAAACTATAGATTCGGCCTCTGTATCCATAATAATGTTCATTTCAATAAGATTTTCCAAAAAAGATTCGGCTTAGTTACAATTTTATTATATGTATAGTACTATAGATATACTTCTCTCTAAAGAAAACATTTTTTTTTAAATAGAGCTACAAGAATTGTCTGGTTTCAAATAATAAATCCATACATATAATAAAATTCTACTTGGGTCGAATCTGTACATTGCATATTTTTTGGAAAATCTTATTGAAATAGTCATTATTATCGATACAGATGCCGAATCTATAGTTTTTAGAATTTTTGTCTGTGTGTCTGTCTAGGTCTGTCTGTCTGAAAATGTCACGGGAAAACCACTGGACAGATTTTTATGAAATTTGGTATGATGATAACTGGTTATCCGGGTATAGGATACTTTTTACTGCTGGAAAATATCTCATCTGTGAGAAATCTACACTAAACGTTAAAAATATATTTACGCTAGTAAAATAATATAAAAGCAAGTGAAAATTATATTTTTTATAATATAACAATTACGTCGATCTGCCAGTAGACTGCTGATTGTTAATAGATAATCCTCTTATTATCTTATCGCTCTATTGACAAGTTCAGTAATAAAATCTAAAAATAACTAGAATAATTAGATTAAATTAGAATATCAAGGGTTATTTCAGTATTTTATATATTCATTTATTGCATAACTATACGCATATTAATATTATAAAGAAAAAATTTCTTATACTTTAAATATTAATAAAAATATTTGGGCTTTGGCGTCATACAAATAGTGCAACAGTAATAAGAGTGCTTAAACAAGATATCTACAATTTATAGGAGATCCCGATCTATGTGGTCCACCATAAGAGTGTGAGGTCCATCCCATACTCTTTTTTCAGGAGAAATATATTTTTTAAACAATAAAACATATAAACAAACCCGAACCAGGGGGTTTTTAGATCAACATCGAATAAATTAAAACAATCTTCAATAAATCTGTCATAATAAATATAGTATAATGACTGCAATTAAAACTTGGGCAAAAAGCGACATTCATAATTAATAGCGATTACCTTAATAAGATAACTACTAGAAAATAATAAATTGACATGGTCACTTGTAAAGATATCTCTTTGAATTTTCTAAAGATATTTTTATTCATTACCAAATATTAATAATTTAAAATTTCTTTATTATTCCGCCTTTAACGCTGTTTTTTTTAAGTTTATATGGACGAGCCTTGATAATTTATCAATTAAAAAAATAATCTTGAAAATTGATTAATAATTAGCGAAAATATGATATGACACGTAACACGTCTCCTTTTTGGAGTCGGTCAAAAATATGTGTTAATGACATAATATAAGCACGTGTCACAATATCACGTGTCAGCCGTCGAAATATATTTTCCACTATATTTTTAGGTATCTATTATTACTAGTATTCGCCCAATGTCACACTCGAAATTCGACCATACAATTATTATTGACAATTTGACGAAAACATAACTGTTAAAAAAGAAAAGAAAATCGGTTGACAAACAGAAAAGAAAACGGAACTGAACTGAACTGTTTTGTCTTTGCCTATTTATATATATTATTTATAATTTATATAGATGATATGAAGTGCGCTTATTTATGGCACTTTAAAACAAATATCAATATATAATAACAAATAAAAAAAAGCAATAATGAAATATATGAAAAAAAAAATGGAAAAAAGAAAAAAAATGAATTGACGAATAGTTTATTATTTTATATATATATATATATATATATATATATATATATATATATATATATATATATATATATATATATATATATATATAAATCGAAATAAAAAAAAAACAATAAAAATAATTAAATAGTTTTATAAAAGGAATGTTTTGTAAAAAAAAAATTTTCATTTTATTATGTCAATAATAGCTATAATTCATAAGTATTAGTATCTATTTGTAATTTTGTATGTAATGTAATTTTATTTAACTGTAATACTTAAGAATTATATAAAACTTTTCTTATGTATTTGTTATCTTGGTGAATAAAGGCTTATTATTATTATAGATGATATAAAATGTACTTATTTACGGCACTTTTTTGTAGCAAAATAACTAAACACGAGGCATAAATAGAAATACTTGCTCATATGTTATATTCTAATAAAATTATTTACTCAACAAGGTTATAGTTGAGAGTAATGCGATCTGATTTATTATCAATATATTTCATAATCATAAACTTATGTGTCCCAAATAATTTTATTGATCATTAATCTCGTACTGGCCTTAGCTTAGCTTTGAAAAGTTTAATTATATAGTACACGCGTCGACATATTGACCTTAAGCTTATTAAAGCCACCTCCACTTAGAATCGGGTTATTTCGTAATTTATTTTGAATGACTTGTTACTGAATGATTCAATAACATTGTATGTTAAATAATTATTTATTGAAAGAAATACGAAAAAAAATATATTTTAGTTTAAATACTATTTACAAAAAAAAAAATAGTTTTTGTAAATAGTATATTGTAGTATGAACGATTAAAGCTTCAAAATCATAAATCTTTTATTTTAACATGACATATAACACTTTTTTGGTGTTATTTCATAGGTAACATTATTATTTTTAGTTCTTATTAAAACCAAGTACGTTTTCAACTTGTTTTAGATATGAGTAATGTGACGCTGGTCAAAGTTTGTCCAATGTCATTTTGATCAAAGTTTTATGAATTCATTAAATGTGTCAGCGACTCTTTATATTTAATTTACATTTTTGCCAATTTCATTCGATTAAAAAGACAGAAGTCGATATTCGACAACAGTAAACAATTTTAAAAAATAATAATATTTTAAAATAAAACTATCTTTTCGGATTATTTCGCGGATTTATTTGGATTTCTGGTTCCCGACGCTTCGAATGCTTTACAGCAATCATGGTCACGGGAGAGACTGAGGTGTTAGATGTCTCGAATGATGTTTTTATAATTTTAATTACTTTTATAATTGAATATGGAATATTATTTATTTAATTTTGCTGTTATTATTATAATTATTTCAATTTTAAAAATATTAATTAGTAATCTATATTTAGTGTTGCCATTATTATATTTATAACCATCTGACATCTAACACCTCAGTCTCTCCCGTGACCATGATTGCTGTAAAGCATTCGAAACGTGGGGAACCAAAAATCGAAATAAATCCGCGAAATAATCCGAAAAGATAGTTTTATTTTAAAATGTCAAATATTCGCGTAAATCTAAAAAATATTAAATAATAATATATTTCTATGTAGAAATGTATGAAATATAACATATGGCTTAAGTACTATTGCATAATATACCAGTAAAATGAGTAAATAAAGTATACGATTAAATTAGAATTCCTAAGACGTTAAAACAATAGAATCGCTGTGTATCCTTTGACATCCGCGTTATTTTTTCCTGATCTTGTTGTTACAATATCTATGCTTTGTAAAAAATATTCTATGAAAAAATCGAATACTAATAATCGATACCATTTTAAATTATAATTATAAGTTTCAAATAGCATTAATTTGATTTAATCAAAAATTTAAAAACAGGCGCTAAAATATTTTATGTACTAGTCTAAACTAAGCTTTCGACGACGTTTTATCTGGCCTTATCGTATATAGCCGATAACAGAATTATGTTACAAGCAATTTATAACTGCTATAAGTAGTTATTTTAAACACGATGTTGTGTAAAATATAAAAAATTGTACATAGATTTTGTATGAAATTCTTTAGCAAGTGTTGCATTGTTTATCTCAATTGTGTAAGTGATTTTAGTGAAGTGATAATAATAATACACAAACATGGCACAAACTCACACAACTCAGTGTAAGGTAGATCATTACTATAAGTTAGAGAAGAAATATGTGGAAATGAAGCGACTCTTAATAGAGAAGACAGAAGAATTGAAAAGAAGAGATAAAATAATAGCATTATTAGAAAACGAGATTGATGACAAAGATGCAACAATAAGATATTTGAAAAATGAAATCGACAAGTACAGACAAGTTGTTAAACCGTTAACTAGACAGATGTTAGATATACAAAGGAACGGAATGGATATGGAAGAAGAACGTCATGGAAAAACACATGGTAATGAGAATACACGGATTCTACCTCTCGGAGAACCTAGACTTAAGAGGACTGCTATATCTGCTGAACCTTTGTCTTCATTATCTCAAGACAACGAAATGAAACTGGTCAAAATACCTAAAACACATATGTGAGTATACGTATTATAGAAAAAAACATGAACTTCAGCTATAAATAGCCAACACTAATTTAGTGACTACAGATGATCAAAAACCAAATCCTATAATATGTTGACCCGGATAATTACCATACTAAATTTCATCAAAGTCACTCCAGTGGTTTTTCTGTGATGCGGTAACAAACAGACAGACAGACAAAAATTCTAAAAACTATAGATTCGGCCTCGGTATCGATAATAATTTCTATTTCAATAAGATTTTCCAAAAAATATCTAATGTACAGATTCGACTTAGTTACAATTTGATTAGTATGTATAACTTAGAAGGATAGTTTTTCGTTATTTATGTGGTACCTAATATGTAATCAATGAAATCGATCACATTAGACGCATAGATACACAAAATAAAAACATACTCAACAAAATTATAAGACTTTTCGTTGATTTTGAGTTGTATTTGTTTCTAAAGATTTTCATAAAAGTATATAGTATGTATATTTGGATTTAATATAATGAGCTAAAATTAAAACGTAATATATTATTTTATATCTCGTTTCTTAAAAACGAAGAGTTAGGTCCGATTTGAAGAAGCCTGTAAGCATTTTATCCATCTATTTCTTGTGAAGAACTAACAACAACCTAAGTAACTAACCTACTTTGACAAAAGAACCTCTTTAACGACCTAATTAATGAATTATGTTTGATAATTTAGTCCCATCGGCTCTATCCGGCTGTATTATATAAGCAATATTACTGAAAAATTTAATCAAAATCCGTTCAGCAGTTTCAGCGTGAAAGAGTAACAAACATACATACTCAAAAAAAATCAGTTAAACAGTATTTAATAGAATTTTCTATCACGGTGCGATCACTACATATAATATGTTTATATTTATGATAGCATGTAGCTAATATGTTTAGTATGTCATCAATCAATCAGTGCGATTGAATTTCTTTCTGCGTGTGCGAACGAGGTCGACGTGTCGCCAGTACGCCTTCGGACCACACTTGGTATAATTACGAACTTCACTCATGTCCTCGCTCGTGCCACTGTCGAGTTGTCGCACAATATTTATAGCGGCAATGACTAATTTACAAAGATTTTTTGTCTTATAATTAGTTAAATAAATATATCAATTATAAAATAATAATATTATTGTGCCTTATTAAAAAAATATACAGAAATAATATATTTGTGTTGTTATAATATAAAATAATATTTTCGTTTGATATTTAAGGAGTTATTTGTTATAATATTAAACACCTGTAATGCTATAATAGATACTCAAAATTATCTTTTTGGATTTTTTCGCAGACTTATTTTGATTTTTGGTTTCCGGTTTATTGAATACTTTACAGCAATCATTCTCTCCCGTGACCATGATTGCTTTAACCTATAATGCTCTATTCAGTGTTGTAGAGCAGATTTGATCACAGTATGTTTTTATTTCAAAATGGCATAGTAAATACAATTTTAGTATATGATATTATAAATATTTTATTTAAATACATAAGTACATATTTATTTAATACTAAATCTGAAAACTTTTAACACAACAACAAAAAGTAATTTAATTAAAACGCCAATACCTTAATACATTTAGTAGATACTTTGAGATTTATTAATATAATTTTCTTAGAAATATCGCTAGCAACATTTGTTTTTGTTTAGAGTCTCAGTGTTAATATTAGTTACGACATCAATTTACTGTAATAGAAAGGTTATTGTCATTAAACTCCATTAGAATAGAACAGCCTTGCTGGGGACGACCGACGACCGACGACGTACACGAACTAGAAACTGCACGTATTAATATAAGTAACCTATTGTTCTCAATACACATTTATTTTCATTCGCAGTATAATTCAAAGCTTTGTATTAAATATTGTTGAATAAAACACATATTATATTTAGCTTAGAACTTTTAAGGGCTTTTTAACTGTTTAAAAAGCTTCGCAGAAGATTCTGTATTAAGCAGAGCACTTGGGTTTCGCTTGGTGTTTTCTTTTTGTGAATTCGTTTTTTTTTCGAAACTTATATAGATAAACTTAAAATGCTAAATAAATCTTACTTCAAAATTTGGTCCCAAAATGTTAGAACCGCGTCTGAGATACACGATTTTTTTTAATATATTTATATAAACAAGAATTTCTCAACTAATATTATAAAATATAATTTTATATGTATATACGTATACTGGATAAATATATAGATATGCTCACTTTAAAAAAAATTATAAGATTTTAATTTCACTTAGTACATTGTACTTACAATGATTGATAAAACTGTTGACTGGTACAATATCAAAAATACGCTACACTTTATAATTTCATACACCTTATTACTCATTAACAACCAACAAGGACGTATATGAGATACATTGGTTATGCTGTTGGTATATTTATGATTAAATATTACTATAATATATATTTCTAAGACACTAATATATATTTTATTCATTATTCTACTACAATAACTAGGAAATGATATAACTAGTCAAATATAATCATTTATTACGTTGGTAATCAGCGGGAATCGATAATGTAAAGAAAAAAATATGTAGCTTTAGTTACTTCCCTTCCGGTGTGTAAAGAATCCAGTCCTTCACTAAGACGCTGTTCATTTTTGGTCGAATTTTTGGTCGGTTCGTATCAGGTGACGATGCCCAATACTGTTTTTTTCGTATCAATCGGTGAAACTTGCCTTAAACAACATTAGGGCGAATATAAATATTTAATAATGACCTTAACGAATCGAACCCGCTACTTGAATCTTTGAAGAGTTTCCTCCCCTCAATTAAATATTTGATCTTATTTAATTAATTATTGAGATTTTGTTTATTATTGTTACTTTTAGTTTTATTAATTTAATATCAATATAATATTAATGAAATTGTTATTTTAGTTTTTCTTATATAGTAAAAATGTAAAAAATGATTTTAATTATATATTTTTTTAAATTAAAAATAACTACGATTCATTTCTAAATTCAATTTATCTTTTATACAAAAATTAACAATGTTTTCATTATACATAACTCGTTTCAGATCCCGGGAGCTTATAAAGGGTGCTATTCTGGACAACGACTTCATGAAGAACCTGGAGATGACGCAGATCAGAGAGATCGTCGACTGCATGTATCCAGTCGAATATGCCGCCGGCAGCCTCATCATCAAAGAGGGCGATGTGGGCAGCATAGTATATGTTATGGAAGGTTAGTTTTATTATTTAATATATAAATTAATTTTGGAAATGCCAATTTAACACTCGATTCACAATAAATATAAATAATCTTAATTATTAACATTTAACAAGCTTTAAAATACTTGTGCGTAATTATTTAACACAAAATGAACTTTCAAAAATATTAATTTAAGTCTGATTATTTATATTTGCTAGTTAACTTAATCTTGCATTATTTATAAATTGAAATGCTTCGGTTGCGCCATCTAGTATTGAGTAATAAAATTTTATTAAATTCAATTTTTTTCACTGCCATCTACCGGTGAGTAGTTCAAGTACTGACAAATACTTTATGAACAGCGGAAGTATAGATGGCAGCACATAATCTAACTTAGGAATAGCATAAAACAAAATTAGGAATCACATAAGTATTTTTTTAAATATATTTTTAGGTCTTAAAAGGGCAGTCTATCATTCTGATTAGTATAAAATTATTTACACAAAATATTATTATTGATATTAAGTTGAAGGAAATTTCAAATTTTAATAATTCTAAGGATCTCAGTTCTCACCAAATGTTTTAATTTATTATAAATAGTATTCTAACTTTTATGTTAAGCAAATATCAACAGTATAACAATTTAACGTTTTATAAACTTAATATATCTATTCACATATATTATGTATGACATCAAATTAAGAATTTGTTACCAGTGACCCTAATAGCTGTAAGTAGAGACCGTTACGAAATTATAAAAAAATATATATTAAAAAACAGCTTTATTGATTCGATTAGTACGACTTTAAGTCAGCATCTACTTTGTAGATGATTCCAGCGCGATGTATAAGATACTTTCCCTCAGCGAGAAAGCGGAAAAACAGCCGACTGCGCTGACTTTTTCATAAGATGTTGGCACAAGGCCAGTCTTAGGCATTTTTATTAGAAGAAATCTCCGTAGTACTAGATTTTTCTATTACCTGTTAGTTTTTTATTAACTCTTCCTATATCACATGAATAGTTTATTTTATTAGTAACTGGCGACTCACACTCGTTTCCCTCGGGTTCGTCCCTAGCTTGATTCCCCATACAATCTTTCATCCCCAGTTTCATCTCTTTAAGGGATGACTTCCGTGATAAAAAGTATCCTATGTCCTTCCCAGGGTTTCAAACTATCTTCTTACCAAATTTCATCTAAATCAGTTCAGTAGATCCAAAGATTAATCCATACAACGTCACAAACTCACAAAATTTACCTCTTTTAATATTAGTAGACATTGCAGCCATGTTCAACTTTTAACATTAACGCTACCAGTATGGCATACATTTTAAACAACAGTGTAAATTATATTTTCTTCTTACTTCATTAGTTAGCACTAAATAAAACATAATGAAAATTCCAAAAGGAAGTTAAATCAATTTTATAATTATTTGAAGGTTAAAATGTAAACATATTACTAATAGAATGCCATTTACAAAATATTTTTCTTAATTAAAATTCGAGGCCAATTTTGAAATTTTATTTTCGAGCTAGATATGACACTATAATTAAATTAATTAGTACCTATAAGCTGTTAGTTTGGACGATTTATTTTTATGATTACATATGAAATATACTCGTATTTCATAGCTTTTTATTTTATATTTTAAGGTAGAGTCGGTCTAAAATTCTAAATATTTTTCTCGCTTCTTTTAGACTATCTAATATAGGTTATATTTTGGTATAACATTTTTACGACGTGGGACTTAATTGTAAAATGCGGGCATAATGTTGAAATACTGACACAGACAATGAATGCTAGAACCATTAAAGTTAATATTTGATTATCTCTCGTAAAGTATGAATAATGTTTAGAGTAAAAATAATATAGATTATAAAAAAGCAAATTTTAGCTTATTTTTCTTTTCCATTGAAAAAAAAAATGAATTGGTTCTGTAGTTATGGTAGTATCTTCTACATATATTAAGAAACAAAATCTCTAAATATAATAATAAGAAACTACACTTAGCTATATTATAAAAGGGTCAAATTAAAGATATCTGCGTAGAATATAGTTATTTACTCAAGATTTTTCAAATCTTACTGCATTATTTCGTAATATATTTTTTATAACCATGCCTAAATATCTTGTTAAAAATTTCTATACATATTTGACTTTCTCATACACAAATTGGTGGTAACGTTTGGAAATCGCCACGCTGTGAATAGTTAGATTTGTATTCATACCTTTGTTGCTTACGAAACTCGATTCGCAATAGATACCTCAGCCTTGCCGATCGACCTTGTGGACTTGGTCGACTTTTTTTCTCACAAGATAATGTCATTTATGAGTACGGCCTCTGTAGTTTATTTTAACAAGCTATGCCTTTATCTACACATATAACAACATTTTGAGTCGAATCTGTACATTAAATACTTTTTGGGAAATCTTATTCCCTCCACGACCGCGGACACCCCGAGGTGTCAGTTAACAATAGATTTCTTAAAATTTTAATTTATTTCTTAGAAGTTTACCCGGAGGGATTATTAATAAATAAATATAATAAATAAATAGGTGTATTTTCTAAGAAAAAACGTTTTTTTTTATATATTTTGTCCGAAAAATAGTCAAGCCAAGCTCGGTCGTCCAGATACCAGATATTATATATAAATTGAAGTGGAAAATGTAATAATTAATTTGATCTGCTGCTGTTCTGAATTTATTATAGTTAAAGCGTTCTCAGTGTTAAGAAAGCGTTAGAATTTAATAAAATATACGTGTTACTTCTCTATTATTTTAAGAACATTATATGATTTATATATGGACATTATATGTCCGCCAACCCGCACTTGGCCAGCGTTGTGGACTATGGCCTGATTCTCCTCGTACTGAAGGGAGGCCCGTGCCCAGCAGTGGGACGTTAAAAAGGGCTGAATACATATGATTTACTCAAATAATATTTTCTATGCATTTATTTGCATAAGTATAATTATAATATAATCTGCTTTGGATATTTGAATGTTTATTGATAAAAGTAGAGAGCCATATTATACCAAATATGGCCTATATAACTAGGGCTTAGACAAGATGTTATTGTACAATCTAGAGAATAGAAATCTTAAAATATACTTATATGGAACTAGCGACTCTTCCTCGCTCCGCTTGGTTTCTTCGGTTAGTATAGTTTTCTCAGAGATGAGATATTTTCCCGCTGTAAAAACTATTCTAAATATTGACACGGATAACCAGCTATCATTATAACAAATTTCATCAAAATCTGTCCAGTGGTTTTCACGAGATGCGTTCCCCGCAGACAAAAAAAGTTCTAAAAAATATTTAATATACAGATTCTACTCAGATGTATAGATATAAAAATATATGTATGTATATAGAACACCATGATGTGTCATTTCATTTTACTTTTTTTTATATCGATTGTAAAATAACATCTTGTATAAGCCTTAATTATTATATGGACGTAGTTATGCAAAAAAGATCCAACCACAAAACTTACTTTTGAGAAAATAGAAGTTTTAGTAAAATTGGTATATCAAAATAACAAGAACGTACTTTTTTTTGAAATTCCTCTTAAATATTAGATATTTTATCTACTTTCTGTATAGTATTGTATATATAAGTTAATATTATGTAGGTGCAATTTGTGACAGTAACTTAAAAAACGGTTTTCGTGGGCTTGATCCATTTTGCATAACTACGTCCATATAATAGATTCAACTTCTTACTTTTTCGTGAGCCTTCATCATGCCCCGTAATTTACATATTACCATATGCCATCATTTGTCTTAACCGCATCCTTATGAACATTCTTGTTATTGGAAAAGAGAGTGATATAGGCATGATATAGGAGAAAAAAGATACTAAAAGGTATGAGGCATATGTTAAAGGACTAAGGGATCAAATCGCTTATAATTTAAATAGTAGGAAGAACTTAGCAGACACACGCTATACACACTCGTATCATTTGGACAGGCTAATGATAGATATGCATATAAAATATTATGCAGTCGGAAGTGAAAGTGTAAACGTGGTTATTACAGGACCTTATGAGGTGCGACACTACCAGTAAGGATAGAGGGCACCGACCGTAATCATTGTTGCTGTAATTGCTCTAAGTTATGAGCTAAATGTGACCAATTAAATATACTAGTTCTATGCCCCGGTTCTATGTTGTATGTAGTTCTGACAGTTCCTAGATAGAAAGCGCTAAAGTAGTACATTCGGTTTAGGTTGTTTTTTAGTACCTAAGTGGTACCTACCTACTATGGTACTTTCTTAGGTTTATGCTTTTTTGATTTAGGACATATATTTTATTGTATGTATGTATGTATATATGTATGTATTTGATCTCATTAATTTAACAGCATTGAAACAACTTAATTCACTTACAAATCTTAACAACAAAATTCTTGATCTTGTATTGACTGATCAACCGGACAAATTTAATTTAGTTAAAGCTATGCCTATAAGCCGCCTCGATTGTCATCATCCTCCATTTGAAATTATATTTAATTATGGCAAGGTCACCTATCTTCTTGAAAATACTCCAATTACCAAATTGTGTTTTTATAAAACCGATTATATTAACTGTATTAAAGAATTAAAACAAATTGATTGGGAAAGACATGCTAATATACTTAGTTGCGATGAATATGTACAATTTTTTTATAATATTTTGTATACAATAATAGAAAAATACACACCAAAATCTAAACAACGCAATAATAGATACCCTTTTTGGTTTTCAAAAAGTTTAATTAAACTTATCAAACGCAAGAATAAATATCATACACTTTTCAAAATTTACAATAATCCAAGAGACTATGATACTTTTGCTCTCCTAAGAACAAGAGTTAAACAACAAACTGAAATATGTTTTAGGTCTTATATATCAAATATAGAAAATAATTTAATTAAAAATATTAAAACTTTTTATCGTTACACTAAAAATAAGAGAGTAACTAATAATATCCCTAAACAGCTGCATTTTAATAATAGAGTAGCTGAATCTGGTATTGATATTACTAATCTTTTTGCTGAATATTTTTCAACTGTTTATGGAAATATATCATCTATTAATTATACACCTAAATTCCCTCCATCTATTTTTTCTATAAGTAATTTACAATTTTCCGCAGACGCAGTTGAACTTCAACTCAAATCAATTAATATTTCTAAAGGATCGGGCTCTGATGGTATTCCACCAATTTTTATAAAAATTTGTTCTTCTGCATTATCAAAACCATTAACAATCATTTATAATAAATCAGTTTTAAATGGTATATTTCCATCTTTATGGAAAATTGCTAAAATCACCCCTATTTATAAATCAGGCGATAAGAGTGATGTCAGAAATTATCGACCAATTTCTATCTTAAACTGCTTTGCTAAAATTTTTGAAACTATGATCTATAAACAACTGTACAGTCATATAAAACCACATCTTAACATTAAACAACATGGTTTCGTATCTGGTTGCTCCAC